GACATTTTTTATTTTAACGTTGTTATTTTATAGAACAAGTATTTAAGCAAATGCTCTGTTTATGATAAACAGTATTAAATAACATTTACCGAACCTGAATGTCCGAAAATTTTCATTTCATTTCGAAAAATATTCGAACCTGCATCCTATACGGAACCGGCAAAACCTGCCTGACTGCTTTATAATAAAAATTAGACAATAATTAAATAATTAAAAACTCAATTTTTCGACAATATATCAAAAATTGGTTTAGTGAATATATAAAATTTTAACAAATAGCTTTTTTGTTTAAAAAGTTGAAAATTAAATAAGCAATGAAAATTGACCATTATAAGCTTTTAAATTTTTTTGTATTATGACGGTCACAAATATATATTTAAATTCAAATAAATTTTTAAATTTCTATCAATAAATAAATTTTATATAAAATTTATTACATTCAGGCCGGTCTCGTTATTTAAATACTGTTTATCAGAAACAGAGCATTTGTTAAATACTTGTATCTATAAAACCACAACGTTAAACATAAAAAATATCTTTAATTTATATAAATTCGGACCTTGTAAATTTCTTATATATATATATATATATATATATATATATATATATATGATCAAATATATATATATAGATATATATTTATTGATAAATATATAAAATTTCTTGAAATCTGTTATATGCAATTATTATTTTAACATTTTAAAACATTTATGTATTAACATTTAAAAAATCACACAATTGATTCTATATGATATATTTTTATTTTTTCATTATTTTTTCAATATATATATATATATATATATATATATATATATATATATAAAATCAAAAGTAAATTTAAAATATAAGTAGAAAGATATCAGAAAGAGTGTATAAAAAAAGAAAAAAATTATTATAAATGACATTCTTACGAATACGCACACACTAAACAAACGCACTTTTGTTACACAAACACAATATAAACAGATTAAAAATCAATTACTAAACCCAATAACTTTAAATAAATCAAATTTTAACTTATTATAATTATAATGAAAATCCTAAAGTCAGACAATCATTCCTGAAACCTTTTGATGATCAGGCCGAAAAATTCATTTTACGAAACTGCATAAAAATGCTCAATATAACATCAATTGTGTTGACAATTATCATGTATATATTTATAAAATCTATATATATATATATATATATATATATATATATATATATATATAATATATATATATATATATATTGTCCTTAATCGGTTTCGACGTATGTGGATCTGACATTTAATAATTAAGTATGAAAGTTTTACAATAATCTTAAGTGGCATTTAAGACCCGCTAGTGATTTACAAAGGAGGCAACATTTGGAAGAAGGGCAGGATTTAGAGATGAGATCATAAATTAGATTGGCTGAATTTTTTATTTTCTCTCGCTTCTTTGAATTTTTGATTCAAACAAAATATTGAAAAAAACACAATCCACTTTCAAATCACGTTTTTTTCCATTCTATATTTGTTTTTTTCGTTATTTCATAGTTAAATTTTCCATATATTACGCATAAATTTGAATATATATATAATTATTTCGATTTCTTAAAATTTTTTTTCATCATAATCTTCTTCTTCTTTTTTTTTTTTTTTTTTTTCTTTAAATATTTTTCTTCTTCCTTTTGAATTCTCAAATCCCTGTCAATTTCAACTCATAATAAAGTTTGTCCTTCAACCATGTCACCATATACCTATTCTGCCAACGATCCACACAGACTCGTTACATAGGTTTTTCTGCTCATTAATGTGAATAAACTAAAATTATCAGAGTCCCTCTTTTTTTTTTTATGTAATCAATCAACGTAAACATCCTTTTTACGATTCGTCATTTTTTTTAAATGAACATTTTCATTTGACATAATATGCAGAGACATTTCATTTGTATTTGTTTGTTTAAACTTATATATATATGTTTAATTCCAATATATATATATATATATATATATATATATATATATATATTAATATATTAAGGATTTAAGTTATTCTTATACATTCTTTTTCATAGATAAAATATTTAAATAAATGTTCTGTTTTATAATAAACATAATAAATCATCAATTATGTATAAACATAAAAAATGTCTTAAAATAATTGTCCCGTTTTGTCCATTTCATAATGTTATTTTCATCATTAGTTTACATTTGATACGCATCGAGCAGATATGAATGTAAATTTAAAAAATTCATGGAAAATTGTAGTTTAAAAACAGTAAAAAAACCAGCTTGTTAACCGAAACGCTCGTCTGTGGCGAAATCGGTAAAAGCACCTCAGGCTATATGACTTTTCCGTATAGGATACAGGTTCGATTCCTGTCGGAGAACGACATATTTTCTATGATTATTATTTTGTCTAATTTTTCAGGCCGGTAAATTTTACTGTTTATTATAAACAGAGCATTTACTTAAATATTTGTATCTATAAAAGAATGCGATATAAACATAATAAAATGTCTTAAAAAAATTGAAGTCATTGTTCGAACATTGTCCGTTAAAATATATATATATATATATATATATTATACAAAATTCATGGGAGAGGATTAAAAAAATAAATCTTTTTCAAAAAGTTATATATATGTGTGTTTCTTTTTATAATTAGGCAAATTTATAATTTGGATATATGTTTTTGGTTGACACATATATTTATATATATATATATATATATATATATATATATATATATATATATATATATATAAACACATTTATATTAAAATTGATAGCAATATATAAATAATTTATACATGAGGAAAAATAACACAGAGGTGAGATATATATATATATATATATATATATATATATATATATATATATATTTTTTTTTTTTTTATTTTCAAATAAATTTATTTCCTGAGGAAAATAAGAAAAAATCTTTTTAAATAAAAGGTTGCATCTACATTGAAAATTTAGACTTTATACATTCAAATAATATAAAAATGATAATATATATATATATATATATATATATATATATATATATATATATATATATATATATATTCATTTATATAATTATATATATTTTTTATATTGTAAGTTTATTTAATTTATTTTACATTTTCTCATCATCATGTTTGTATAAAAATATATTATTTCTAATTAAATTATATAAGTTCTTAGATATTTTAAAACAAACCTATAAGAGAAATTTTCTTTAATATTATTAGATTCTATATACCTAAAATTTACAAAAGATAAACCGGATATTTATTTGAAAATTATTCTAAGAAATGAAGAAAAATATTCTCCCCAAAAAAATTTTTATATCCAAATATAGAACTCTGTATATAATATTTATATAAATAAAATTTCTGTATATATATATATATACGTGTATAATTATATATATATATATAAATTATATATATATATATATACATATATATATATATACGTGTATATATATATAAATATATATATATATATTTATATAATTATATATATATATATATATATATATATATATATATATATATATATATATATATATATATAATTATATATACATATATATATATACATATTTATATAATATTCATATATATATATATATATATTCTATATATCTAGAAAAATAGAGACAAAAAGATGGAAATATTTGAATACATATCCATTTGAAATGAAATCTATTAAAGCATTAGCTCTGAAAATCATAAGTATATTTTATTCCCTACTCAGCAACTGCCAGTTT